CATGTACATATATATACATATACATATATATATATATATATATATATACACCCACACCCACACATATATATATAGAATACACATAAAAGCATCTTACAGTTGTTGAGGTTCTTCTCGGTTTTCTCAAAGTCGCCCAGGTGGAAGTACGCGTTTGCCAACCCGTTATACGCCTGAAACTTAGTGATCTTTGAATCGTACATGTCTTCTGGGCTCCATTCGTCCAGGTGAGTTTTGGCATCGTGCTCGACCAAGTCCAAAACAGTGTGAAACAGGTTGCATGCCTTCTCTTTGTTAATATCCTCGTAAATCTGTGCGGACTGTGTTGAAACGTTTAAGATGACCGTTAGCAGAAAGGCCAGACTGGGCTGAAACGTTTAGGAATAACGTTACGACGGGTGATACTAGGGAACGCTAGCACTTTGTTGAGACGTTTACGACCTCGATTAGTCGGCGGTGGTAGTACGGATTGGTATATTATACACAACGGATTGTGAGTGCAGACAGAGGCTTTGGCTGTGAAGTGTTTTTGCCAGTCCAAAAAATATGCAAACACGTTAAACGCATTGCCTTAGCTATATCTTGTATATCTGTGTTGCCAATGTCCGTCAATGTACTATAAGCAAAGCTCATCGACTGCTCTCTGAAGATACTTCCATCCTTTGTCGATCCACGCACACATGTATACATTGATGTGTGATATATATATGTTAAGTATCTCTACATTGATGTATATGAATATATATATGTCAAGTATATATACATTAATGTATATGATTATTTTTATGTCAAGTATCTATACATTAATGTATATGACTTATATATGTCAAGTATCTATACATTTATGTATATGATTTATATATGTCGTCAAGAAACACCTGCACACTACAAAGCATGTATGTGTATATACACACAGTTTAGCCAAAGGGATATACCCTAAATGCTACGCCTAAAAGGCTCCAAAACGTTCTCATCAACCGCTTGCTGAAGCTTCTTCACTCCTTTGTCGATCCACACACACAAATGTACATGGTTGTATACACACACATACATGCACGCATAGATGTATATAAATACATACATACATACACGCATAGATGCATATGCATACATACACACTCATTTACATATAAGTATACAGCCTCAAGCATACGCGGCAGCGCTAATGCGTACTACCACACAGGTCAGTCCCACGCTCATACGATGAATGCAAGGCACGTATATATATGTGGCTGTATATACATACTTACATACATACATACATACATACACACAAACATACACACATATATAAATACATACATACACGCACATATATATATATAGATAGATAGATAGATAGATAGATGTATATAAATACATACACACCCATATACATATAATTAAACAACCTCATGCATACATGCCAGCACTAATGTGCACCACCACACAGTCCAGTACCACGCGCATACATACCATGAACGCAAGGCCCACGGCAGTCTCCATATCATTGTCGTCCACCACTTTCTGAAGGTTCTTCAAACCTTTGTTGATCCATGCATCTCCATTGGGAGAGGGAGGTAAGGTGGACGCCTCCATCTCTTCAGCCGCGTGACGGGCCTGAGGGTATAGGCAAGGTACAAGATATGGATACATACTAACGGTTAGTCTATGGGCAAGGTACAAGATATAGATACTTACTAACGGTTAGGCTAAGGCGTGTGAGGGAATGTCAATGCAGAAGCATTTGCGCACGAATGAGTATAAGAGCTCGGCGGTAACAAACGCCTTGGATGTCTACAACCGTCCCATTACTTCACTTACACATGCAGACGAATGCATACCATATAAGATTACATGTAACGGCACAAACACACTGACACAGACCACGGAGGGACACGAGTATCCTAAGTCTAAAGTCAATCCAGTCTGCCTAGCCATGTCCTTAAAACACCACCTGGATATCTACAACCCTTTCCAGCGAAACGAGCTTGACTGCTTCACGCACAAAATGTATATGTATGAATACATTATATATATATATAAATAAATAGATATATATATATATACAGATAAATAGATATATATATATAACGTGTGAATATATTCATACATTATACAATGTGTAAATATAGCGGCACAAATACACTTACCACGAGATGATAGAGTACCCCCAGTCTGATTGAAGTTTCTGCCTGGCCTGAAATATCGTTGTCCTTCACTTGAATATCGTACAACAGCTCCAGCGGTGCCATGGCCTCGGCGTATCTCTCCGGTTCTATGGTACATTGGGCAAAGATATGAGCACTTATGATTAACATTATACAACATATACGTATATGTATGTTTATATAACTTATACGTGTATATATAACTTATACGTGTATATATAACTTATACGTGTATATATAACTTAAAGGTGTATATATACCGTATATACCTTATATACCTTTAGATATATATATATACATATACATACATAGATGCATA